ATATGTGGCAAAAAAAAAGCATCTCCGTACTATATGATGCTAAAATCCCACATATGAAACAGCAGATTTTTATAAATATTTCCTTTACATGCATTATGAAAAATTTTGTGTTTTTAAGTTTTGGAGGGGTTGTTTTTTTTCCAAAATGTCAGGGCTGTACATAAAATAGCCGAAATATACATTCTTCCAAGGTTTTTTCCTATAACTGCACATACCCACAGCCATTCTAGTAGAAAACCTTGTGTTGGAGGAGCCAAACACCGATAGAATTGAAAAAAAAGAATATAGAGTACTACGAAAGCAATAACATCTGCGATAGCCTTTCTTAGCAAAGAGACTGCGCAGATGAACAGAGAAGTTCAGACCAAAGTCCAAGCAATGATCCTTAAATTAATACATGAGGTCACATCTTATTTAAGCTGCAGACAATCATTTTTGTTTTTTAATAATGTAGTATGTTGCATTTAAACCCAAAGTACTACAAGATTTACAAAGACGGAAAAAAATTATTTCCATATTTTATATGTAGACCGAGTCTCACAATAGAAGGGAAGATTCTTAAAGATAGTTAGGCACTTAAAAATGCAGCTAAAATCCAGTAGAATTTTTAGAAGCGAGATTTGGGCGTAAGTCTAGAAATCAAAATCCTACCACAACTTTTCAGTATATGAACCTATGTGCCTACGTTACTACTTCTAAATCTCACAAAGCAGATGAACAGCAAAGATCGATAGATTACAACTGACTTGGTCTTATTGTACTACTTGGCAACATAAATCAGGCCTATACCTTAAGTTTCTAAAATTATATGTAATTCCATTCCCCCTCTCTGCCAGAGCGGAGCTCTGCCAGTTCTAGAAACAGAAAAGTGATTAGCTGAGCATCCTAAATACATAACATATTATTCATCTTCTGGTCACCTCTAACTTCATGCTTCTGTATTGTAAACTTAAATCTTGACACCCACTAATTCCTAAACAAACATCCATCAGCTAGTGAAGTAATGACCATCTTTCATCCTGTATCTTCTGCTACTTGCGCCTTTCAGATTATGGATATGTACCAAGAAAACTATACATGATATTTTCTCCTGCATCTCACTGTTTCCATCTCCAAAATAATACACAATTTGCTGGCATGTACATGCCTAGGCAGGCTGCTGAATTTGCTAAATTAGCAGGCTTTTCAGAAAGAGACTACAGCTCAACAGTAAACATCTGCTGCCTGTAAGATAAGTGACAAACAATCCACTTGGAAAAAAAAGGTTCAGAAGAAGGGCAGCTGAAGACAATGAAAACTACATACAAGACGATTGCCAGCCACATATCACATCTCTCTGAAGGATAAAACACATTTTCCATTATGAAAGGTGATAGTAGGACATTTTGGTTCCTACAGCAAGATGTCAATTTGGTAAAATCTCACAAAGTGATGGAAGGCAACAGTCTCCTGTTTTCTTGATCTCACTGATCTCCGAACTCGCTCCCACCTACCTGCCCATAAGCGTGATCTCCCTCCTCCACTTTTAAATGAGTAGTTGGGTCAGGTGTCCAACTTCTCATGCTCTTACTTTCTGCCAGACACTGTATATTACAACTGTGTACAGATGTAACTAGGTATATAATTTTTTTGTATGAAACGTATACAGTAAAATATACATCTTAAAATATCACAAAACTGAAATAAAAAGTTGAGGCATAAAACGATGACCGTTCCTGACTGAGTCAAAAGCTTTTCAGGAAGGTACAAACAGACCAGAGAGCACGGACAAATTTATTGCACTTTTTTTTTTTTTTTTTTTGGAATTTCCTACTAAGTATTAAGACTTATTCAGTGCTTTCAGGAAAATGTCATTGCAGATGATTTCAGTGGCAGTTATAGAGCAGAATCCGTGTCTGCCAAGAGATAATTTGGGCCAAAGGTGCAGTGCTATAAAATATCACCCATATTATCTTGTGCCAGAACACATACAGAAAAGAGACCAGCCTAGCAAGCAGCTGTTAAGCCAAAAATATCCTCGAGCTGTATTTATTCCAAAAAGATTTGCTCTTGAAAATAGTCCTTTGGCTCCTTTATCCCTAATTAAGGGCAGAATTTTATCCTTATAGCCTGTATTTTTCCTGTTTAATCGCCCAAATATAAGTGAGATCTATTATAATATCAAAGAAAATACAAGTTAATAATTTATTAAAATATTTCAACATATATTATTTTAACCTTAAAAGGTTATTCCTAAAAATCAGATAGAAATCAGAAAGCTACATAATTTGAAATATGAAAAGTATTCTCCTGCTATCAAGGAAGAGTATTTGAACTTTTCATTTGATATCCTTTCTATTCAGCAGCAACCAGTTTTAATAAAAACAACTGCAAAATGCAATTAAGTAATTCTAGCATGAAAAAGAGTACGCGTAGTTACCAGATTAGGAAGGACAAACTAAGTCTTGAAGAAACTCTAGGGTTATACTACTGAATCCACTGAAATCTCAGAATTATGATCAGACCTGCTGTGCATGTGTGTGTCTTACGCTATATGGAAGATTATTTCTGATGTGTAAAAGCCTACAGATGAATACCATTAATATCCTCTCTCTGGTAATTAAACTGTCTCAGTGTAAAATTTTATAGTCTTAAAGAAGGGAAGGAAGAAACTCTATACAAACTCACAATCAAATTTTCAGTTTTCAGGTCTCCTAGGTACCAGTGCGGCCAATCAACATATCATCTATAAAATTCAATACAGATGCAGAGTTTTATACCTAATCCTACGAAGGCTGTCAAAATTTGCAAATGGACAACCACTTACAAGATCTGTAATGGAGTCTGAAGTCCGTAATAATCTTGCTAATAATATCATTAATTCATATGCTATACTGATACAGATGTGAACATTTTATCCAGACACCATATACACGTAAGCAGGTAAATGTAAGAGTGAACACTATCTTAGAAGAAACGTTTAAATAACTGCAATGAAAAAATTCTGCAAGTAAGTCAAAGGTATCTCTACTTGACAAAAAAAATGAGCAGGCATGTGTGCATATATGTATATATACATACATACACACACATCCATATGTGCATGCATAGCAGCTCTTAAAATTAATCCTTAGGAATATTTTATCTGGCTCAGATTCAGGACAACTTTTCTTAGCATTAATTCTCAATAGGTTTAAGAGTCTTTCTAGGGACACCAACAGGCTAATTTTTCTTCCAGAAGACAGGAATTTTGTAGCAGTTTTCAAAAGTTGGATGAAGAAACACTGTTGCGCCTAATTTAGGGGGAGAGCGGGCGACAGACATCAACACCACTAGGCATTTTCCAGGCCTGAGAGATCTCCCATACACATGTGCACCCATTTCTAGTCGTTTTATTCTCCCACTACAGTAGCATTTGAACTGCGGGCCACACGCTATCCTGTGAAACCTCTTTCAAAGCCATCAGGTTCACTGTCAGTTTAAAGATCAGGGCAGAACTGACAAAGAACTGTTTTCTACACTTCCACTCTCCACATTGATTTATAAGCACAGTTAAAAAAAATTCCAAGACTGGTATTTTTGATCCATTCTAGTGACCTGTACCAGGAATTTACAGCCTGGTAAAGTGGACTGTGAATGTTCCTAAAACCAAATAGATTTACTTAGCACCCACTTTGATCACAGGAGAGCTGTTATGTGACTTCACTTAGGAAAAAAGCTTGTTGATTGAGGTAAATAACTTGACGTAAAAATCCAACTCAAACAGTATAATCTGTAGGACTAATAGCTGCCACGAGGCTGAAATAAGACTGTATCTATAGCATATTCCAAGGCTTAAATGATGCTGACAGACATACATCTACTGACAGTCTAGCTCGCTTCAGTACCAATAATATCAAAACTTTGGCAGCAGAGGTTTCAGCATTAACTACAAAACTCAGACCCCAAATATGTCCTTGTATTAGCAGCCTACATAAACTGCATTGCCACATCTTCACTGGTCTTGCTTGCCAAAGTTTCCTAGATAAAGCCTACACCAGTTACGATATGATGCTACAACTACATTCCTGAGCGCACCACTGCCACCCTACAAAAGAGTTTAGACTTTAGAATTAACCTAATCATGCGAAAGCTCTAAACTGCTTTTTTTTTGCATTAACGTTTTTCCCCCCTAGAACCAATCTACCCTGTAAAACGTAAGGACAAAAGGTAGGGCAGTGTAGCAACTGACCTCGAAAAGAAGCCACACTTGACAGCTCCATCTCACAACTTAGCCATTCTAAAGAAGTCTACCCTTCTTTTTATACTTAAATTTGAATTATAGTGTTACATGCATCTGCTTGAAAAGAAACTAGTTCATCAGTTTCAGGCATTCAATACTATTGTCTCAAACACTTTCAAAATAATACTTACAAATAAAAAATTGCATTTCAAAAAGCAGTTTGTTTGCTCCAGCAATGTAGAAGAAGCACCTTTTAGCTAGCTTTACAAAAGGGACTGGGATGAAGGAAGGGGGCTACTTGCAAGCGTCAGTAATCTGACTACCATATTCAAAATAGCAAGTTCTTCATAGTAAAAGAAGCAACTCAGTGATAATCTAGTAGTTCAGAAAGATCTTAGCAAAAGAGTTAACTTACTTCCTCCAAGTGAAACACTCTCATCCCAACATTTTCTCAATGTCTTAGATATCTCTTCAATACATAAATCTAGCAGGTGCTTACAGATCACTCGGATTCATTATGCAAATAGTATGTATCCTGCTGGATTTAATTAAGAGGGAGGAAATACTTGCAGAAACAAAGATATGGGAATAAAGAAGTTTTCCATGACCAATGAATTTACATGCAGCAAGAAATTTTAACTGTCAAAACTTGCTTAGTATTTTAGAAGTATAGCTCCTAAACCAAATCTGTGTAATTTAGCCACCCCTAAAGACAGCTCAAGCAAGGGTCAAGCACCTTTCTAGATAAAGTAATGTAGAAAGAAATACAAGAGGAGATGGAAAGGTACAGTACACTCACCAGGCGTGTATTAACAACAGGAAACAGCAATGCCAAGAGGGCCCCATTTAACATATGCATCTGTAACCTTAGAAGAGAAATGAGACATTATTTTCACAGATTGGAAATGAAATGGAAAGTTTTCACACATTTTAGGTAGTATGTCTTCATAAAAGGTAGCAAGAAATTGGAAAAAGTTTTGGAATTTTGCTGTTCATTTTGCTTTCAGAGCTTAAAATAGAGATTTGACAAAAGCTTTTACTTCCATCCACCTCCATAAATGTACATGGCATCAAACTAAAGCTTCAGGAATTTGGAAGAAGTTTGATTTTTGCATCACTTAAATAAAAGAAGAATTATATTTGTCAAGATGCAACAATGAATCCCAAACAAAGGAACAGGGAAATAAAGTAGTATTTAAATTGCAGTGCAGTATTTTGTACAGCTTTCAGTCATCTCTCCCTGAACCACTGTTGCATCAGATGCCAACAGAAGTAAGGTCAGTACTGTTTAAGTCTGCTTTATATTAGAGACAAAGCAAAGCATAAAATTCATTCTACAACCACTGCCTGTCATAAACTCTATTCAAAATTACAAAGTTTATAAGTAACTTGGGCGGGGGGGGGAGCAGGTATTACAATTCCAAAACACTTCTTCAAAAGCCATTTATGTATCAGGATGTTAGAAAACAGAAAGGCTCATTCTGAAAAAGAACAAATATTGCAGCCTCTGCCCTGCAACCTGTCCTTTGCAAATGCATAGTAAATCCAGGATTTCCTAGACACCAGACTTACTTTGCACGCTCTCTGAGATGAAGAGGCACTAGTACTGTATCTCTGTATTCAGCCTACTCCCTGCCCAAATAAGGAGCAGCAGGAAAGAGTTGCAGCCAGACAGTAGCACCTCCAAAACAATTCATGAGGCATGCCCCCGGCATCTTATTTTCCAGACACTGCCTAGACTAAGACAAGAAAAAGCTGAGTAAACTGTCATGGTGGCAACTACAGCCATTCCTGATTATCATTCTGTCTGGGAAGTCCCATGACCCTCCCCACAATATGACTTCTTGTACCCCTATCATATAATGCACATGAGAGGGGGCGTTTAGGAACAAAAACTGTAAGACCCTACAGGTAAGAACCTATAAAAAGTATAGACTGCTTACTGGACTCTATTGCACTAGTCCATTAGACCACTTCCTAAAGTGAGTAACAATAAGTAATAGTATAGAAAAGATTGCCCACGTTTGAGAAATACCCAAATCAATAAGAATTTGGTTTAACTATTTAACTTATCTCTACATTTTAAAAAATAGATCCACACTGTACATATGGCCTTCCATGAAGAACAGCTACTAATTTTTAGTAAAGATAATCAGAAGGTACAGGGCACATGACATAAATTAAGTAAGCCCATAGGTTAACCTGTAGAAGGACGCCTGTGCTCTCATCTGCTACTAATAGATGTTGCTAGTGAGACCAAAGCCACCATCAGTACAAAAGAAACAAGGGTAAGTGGACTCAGTACCCACAGTTTAAGCCACGACCCCTTTCAAGGTCTCATTTTTCAGTCCAATCAGTATTACAGTCAGCTTCTAAAGCACATCATGCAAGTAGACAGAAATGTAGCTAGGAAGCAGCATTACCTGAAGAGAATCATTGCAACCCGACATGGAGGACAGGCAAGAAGAAAAATCTGAAACATTAGAAAAAAATTTAAATTAACAATATGATCTTATTTTAATTCTATTTTGTACATCTTTCTTCCCCAGTTTTGTATGTCACAGATCATTTCTAACTAGAAGAACTGTTTTACAGCAGAGCTGGAAAAGACTAAAAATTATGAACAAATTAAAAGGCCTCATATTACCTATGGATACAAGGATTTCAGCAGCATGAGCAGCATCTAGGATTCAGCTTCTGCCAGTGCCTAAGGAACAAGTCAAATTCTAGCCTGAAATTCTATCATTATTAAATCTCTACACCTCATCTCTACACCTCATCTCTACACCTCATCTCTACACCTCATCTCTACACCTCAATGCTTCTTGTAAAACAGATTATTGTATTACCAATCATTTCACTACTGTAGCCCCCATAACCTTACTTTGGGAAGTACTAAGAGGCTCTTATAGACAACCACCTTACATAAGATCTTCAAGAGCTGGGTCCTGCACTGCTGAAGCCAAGGGGAGTATCATCATCATAAATGCTTGGTATTCAGCACAGCAGGGACCTTACCATGACCGGGGGATATCTCAGTATCTGTTCTATGGATAACTGCAGTAGTCATCTTTAAATATGTCTGTAGCCTTATTTCAATAGAGTACTTTTGAAGTACTGTATAAATTTCACCAGTAATTAGCTAGCTATTTCCCAAGATGAAAAGTAACATAATGCAATTTGAGCAGCATATGTTTGTTTCTCTTTACAGGCCAAATTCCCATCATAAATAAGATCCAGTTTTAAGCTTTCTGTAATAAAACATTGTTGATTAGCAGTGATCTCCCATTTAATTTAGAAGGATAACCATCATCCTTCGATACTATTGTCCAAACGTCTCACAGCAACTTAAAAGACTTCATATCAGCAAGTTTTACTCTGCATAATAAGAGAAAACTGCATAAGTGTTCAGTGCTGAAAATCACACTTTTTCTGTTGTTTCTAGAATAACTGCACACTAGATTATTTCATTGCCAAGCTACTGGTCAAATTATTAAATCACTTCAAGTGAGAATATTTGAAGAATATATCCACTCTGGGCACAACTCAGATAAATCCAAACATATTTCTTTGAAGTGCTACACGGCATACCTGGCCAAATAGCTGATGGCTGTTCAGATTAATTACTACCAGGTCATATACTTGCTACAACAACAATAGAAAGGTTGAAGCCGGATCATTCTATTCAGCCTTTGAGTGGACAAGGGCCCGTTATTACCGTATGACTAGAAGGGCACATTTCAAATAGTTTATTTCCAGTGCAGGTTCATAATATACAGCCATTTATTTCTCTGAGCAACTTACTTGCATGTTTTAATTCAAGTCCATCAGTCTCAATAACAGTTAGAATATATACACACTCACAGGAAAAAAAATCTTTTTCCTTAGTCATACAGAACTCTAATAGAAACAAAGCAAGAAAAAGGCACGAATTAAATTAAAGAACCTCAAGATATTTGCTTAGTGAATGCTCTTAGAAGCCAATCAGAGTTTCTTTAAAGTCTTGTATTTAAAAAGCAAGGAAGGTTAAAAAGTAAGTGAACACAACGGACGCATGACAACAATCCACTAGTCGACGCTTTCTCCGCTAAGGAACAAAAAAAAGTACATACCACAGAATCTTATGTGAGGTCTGTATATCATCTTACACATTAAGGCCCATATGGCTTCTAGGAAAAGTGTCCAACACTTACTAATTACATTTCATTATTCCATCATTTGATACTTTTGCAACAGACAGTCTACTAACTAAACTAAAGTTCCTTCAACTGTGGACTACGTTCCTTCTGTGGGGGACCATAACATTTTCCTTTCTGTGGAGACCATAAAAGTTTTCTGTCTCTTATAATACCTCCTCACCCCCCCATGCTTCTTGTATATATTAGTCAAACCTTTTAAATATTCCATGCTATATGTTAGCAGAAGGAGATATGGCATTTAGAATCCCACTAGTTCATTTGAAGCTTTAAATTCAGGTATGTTATGATTTCCTTACATTCATAAGTCTGACAGAAGAGAGATGTTATATTTGAAGCATCATTCATACTTAAATGAAGGAAATTCTACTCCTCCTCCTTTTCTATTTCCTACTTCTTTAAAAAAAAAAAAAGTTTTTCTCTGTGCATACAAACTAAAACAGAAATGTATTTTAATCATACCAGTGATTTACTTTTCTGACACACTGCAGAGCGCTCAACTACTGAGCAGCAGAGAAGAAACTACAGTACAACTTAATGTACCAGCTGAATTTCACCACTGAGGTGAAACAATAGCAAGTATTTAAAAAGTATGGTCGTAATAGTCACAAAGGCTGAGATGGACACATCATCCTAATCACTACCTCAGAGACAGGCAAAGAAGAGAACAGGATTCATTCACAGCTCCTCGTTTTCAGGTCAACTCTACAGCAACAAACACTGTTTCAGGATTTGTGATGGAAAAAAAATATGTAGTATTTTTGAGCATGCAAGTCCCTCTGTTAGAAGGGATCATTCAGAAAAACGTGTTTGACTTCCATTTTTGAGAAGGACAGCAGGGAATTTACCTAGAATGTTTATGTTAAAACTTTTAAGACAGTGGACAGATCTTCAACTGTTTAGCTTTAGCAATTTAATGTCTAGCACCTCCTCTCTAAATACCTATTTTCCATGATAAACAAACTTCACAGCCTCTTGAAATGCATGTTTTACAGACCCCTTGTATCAGATTTACAAATAATTATTTCACAGAGTAGATTTAAACGTTATCAAGATAGCATCATCAGTCAGCTCACAGAATAATTAGCAACCTGAAAATATCTAGTTTACAGCAGACACAAGCTCTAACATAAGCGTTCACATACTCATTCCATAATCATATTACATTTCACTGTCATACTAGAAATGCAATCCTTAGCCTTGTGGTAGGAAACAGCCAAGTCTTATAAATTGAACAATGTCAGATTAAGTTAGTGACATGGCTGTGAAGAGTACCCAGCTTCTGTTTTCCTGTTGAAACTCTGAAGGTTTTACTTGCTTAGACTAGCAGCGACAGTAGCCATCCTAGCTGGTACGTTGCAGACAGAAGACAATATATAATTTAAAGTACACTGAAGGAGGCTCTTCCACACACGTTTTTATCCGATCATCATTGCAGGCATTCAAGGGAGAATAGCTAAATTTTCAGTTTAGAAAAAAGCTAAGAAATAACCTCAATATCCCTCCTAATTTTGCCAGATGTGTTACCCATTACATTTCCATGTGTTACAAAGGAAAATAAGGACCAAAGAATCATCTGGAAGCCCAGATATGTACAAAGTAACATTTTAGAGAAGAAAAATAAGCTATAAAATATCCATTGTTTGACATGCTGAATTCTGGGCACAGTTCTGGTCATTAACTTCTATCTCACTTCTACACACACGCACCACTCACAATACAGCAGATTTGGGAAAGGGTTACAGACGTCAACAAGAATGATCAAAATATATTGAACAGCTTCCACAAATGGACCAATTTAACACCTGAGGAATCTTCAACCTGAAAAAAGATTTTGGGGTGATGGGAGCGAGAGAAAGAGAGGATACAAAATCATGGGTCGTCTTAGGACTTGTTATCTGTGCATCTCCTTAAGTGGGCACAACATGGTGGACCAGGATGTTTGAGAGACAGAAGAAGCATTTCAGTCTTTCACCAGCACAGGACCAGGAGATTTTTAGGTTGTTTTCAAGCAATAAACTACAAAGAAATTCAAAACACTGGTAAATCTGCAAACTAAAGTTCACTTCAAGCCTGAGGACCCAGAAGAAAACAGAAGTCAGAAAGCCAGTCAAATTCCTAGTTGCTTGGCAAGAGCATAAATATCGTCCATCCCCACGGGAAATATTTCTGGCATGAAGAACTGCATGACCAGCACTCCCCCTACACAAGCCCAAATACAAAGGTCACACCAGAACACATGATGGGTCAGCAGGGCTGTTTTAAGTTGCAGACTGCAACATACAGGATTGCACTGCTAACTATTTGTTTCCTGAGAGGAGACCTGAACGAGATTAAACTCATGGTTGCACCATACCAACCCAGGACCGGGTTGAGTAACAGCCTCTTCCATATTCCATTTCTGGAGGCATGCACTAAGAAAGAAAAAAGCTCCAAATGATATCTGCAAGCCTGGCACAGACTGCCAAGAGGAAAGAACAGGATATTTTCCCCCCTGCAATAACACGCGTAAAATTTTTCTAGAGTGAACATGTATGAGATCCAGTCATTCACTATTTGATAGTTTAGAAGAAATATCATGTCTGAATAACATCAGAGATCTTTATTTTCTTAAACTTAATTTATTAGTCATCTGTCATACTGTGGCAGGTAATAGAGCCTGTATATAAAAGGACTATTCTGAAGACAATGTCAAGATAATATTACATAAGTTTATTGAGGAAAACTTCTGTAATCACAAACAGAATTGTGTGAAAGACTACAGAGCTGCACAGGGGCTTCTTTCTAGAGTAAAAGATAGAAATACTATGACAAATAGCAAAATATTTCTTCATTTGGACTCAGATGCATTGTTCTCTCTAAGAAGCGAACAAAGCAAAGTCTATTAGGATTCACATCACAGTTAAGTGAGGTCAATGGAACATTTCTTTCCCTCTTCTATCAATCCTTTGCTCCCATGCGAAAAGCACAGAGAGATAAAAGGCAGTCTTCACTATTCCTATGGTAATATAGGAGAGGAGGCGTTCTGTAGGATTTAAACAATACTTTCGACTCTTCATTTGTCAACTAATGCAAAAGAAATACTTTGCAAAGTATGCCTTGCCTACCTTTAATTTCCTGGCAGGACTGACAAGATAGCAATACACAGATATCACCAAGTACTACATTTGCCCTCCACAAATTCCTGCTAAGTTGCCTCCCTTTTTAATTACTGGAGGCAAGCATAACAGCTCAATGGGAAAAAGGAACTGAGAAGCTGAGAAAAACAGGTTATTTT